CTCGTTTTCGGCATTAGTTTTGTCTTGTAACAAATTCTGCCAATACCTGGTGGGTTTTTAGGGGTTTGAGATGTCTTTGGTTTGTGTTGAGTATCACCATCTCGTCTTGGACGTTACCACACTGCTAGGCTACAACGCACTCTGCTGCTGATTAGGAGTTTAGAAAAAATTTGAGTTAAAAATGTTGCAGTTTTGAAACTTAAGGTTTTTGTTAATAAATGCATAAACGCCCAGTGGATTTTCTGCAACGACCGATTAGTTTTTGAATTTTATTTTTTGTTTTTTGAACTTTTGACTTTTGTTGTTTGTTTGAACTGAATTTCGAACTTTATTTGAACTTAATGCTTTGGAATAAATCATACCAAATAAAACATGGAAGCAATAGAATTGTTGCTCTGTGTGTTTCTTGTTTCGGTTTGAAAGTGGTTCTTTGTTTTTAGGCGGCGGAGGACGTGGTTTCAAATCAGTGGTTTATTACCTTGTTTTGAGAGCAATGTCTGATCTTTCGGTTGATCAAACAGTTACTTTATTGAAAATCAGCGATCGAGAGAAGTCGAAATCGTATGTTTCTTGCATATAATCATTGTAATGAAATTTATGGTATTATTGCAATAGCTATAGTAATTAAATAATTTCGAACCGGTTTTGCTATTTTATGATGTTTTTTTCAATTTCACTGATTCTCGCTGTGATTATTATTATTATTATTATTATTGTTATTATTACTGTTACTGTTATTATTATTGTTGTTGTTGTTGTTATTATTATTATTATTATTATTATTATTATTATTATTATTATTATTATTATTATTAATTATTTTCGTCGTCATTGTTATTAACAATTTTTGCAATCATTACAGAGCAAATGCAACTTCGAAGGCGAAAATACCATCTAAACGTCGTCGTGCTGATACCGATCTAGCGGATACTGCAGCTGCAGCAGCTGGTGATGGTAAGCACTACGGTTGATAATTTTTGATTAGGACTGTTGGGAAAGTCTTCTATTTCTCGTACAGCCTTTAACAGACCTGTGTCTGGGGGCTAGGTCGTTCACGTTTCCTTCAAGTCGTGTAATTCTTTTATTTATGTATGAATAGAAAGTTATAGTAAGAAGGAATGAAATAAAGAGAAAGAAGGTAAGAAATGAAAAATGGAAAAATTGTGAGATTATTAAAATGGTGGGAAGTGTTTCGGTCCATTAAGTCGTACGAATTTCTTACCATTATCACAGTTGAACTTCGTCAGCACGACGACTGTGGTAAATGGAATTAGTGAAAGTTAGGATTAAATTAATTGTGTAGTGCATGTTAGTAGTGTGGAACACACTGAGAAAAAACGAGCTACGTGACGTTGTTGGGGTGCATGTGAAAATGGTAATGGCGAGAAAAACAAATAAAGGAACTGGTGAATTGTTGGACGTAATTAGAATCGCCGTAATTAGGATTGTGCAAGCGACGGCAAGTAGTTGGGAGGGAAGGGAAATGCAGATAAGCTGGAAGTCACTAAGATAGTGTTGTTTTTGCCCAAGATTGGACGAATTCGGCAGAAGCATAAGCAAAAGTTTCAAGAAAGGGAAGAGTTCCGGGGTGATCGCTGTAAGTATTGTTTCTGCTACATTTGATGACCGAAAAAACGAATATGAAATCGCTGAGATTGTAAGGAACTGAAAAAGAACGAGATAAAAAGTGAAATATTCCTAGAAACGGTCGGAAACGACGATAAATACAGAGCGCGTAGACGATCAGTTAATAGCAATACATTAATCGCTAGGTAGTGGAGTTTTGGTCAAAATGGCCAGTCTGAAAGGTTTTTAACCGCATGTTTGATATGAGGGTATTTTCAACTTAAGGGACCGAAACGTCTTATCTCACTCTTACCTTCTCATACAAGCTCTTTCATGTTGTATTCTATCGCAAATTTGCCATTTGGTCTTCCTAGGTCAACCGGGTTGCTACAGTCGGCTTACAGTGACAAGGAAAAAAAGCTAATTGCTTAAAAATCATCGAGTACGACGCATCCAATCTCTGGTTCCATATATAATGTATTGGAAAATTTTCCCCTTTTTTTCATGCATATTAATTTAGTGGGTCAATTTGCATTTGTTCGACGCGGAGTACAATGGATCGATGAGATGATGATATCAGTAATGAAGGCAAAACGAGTAATGGAACCTAATGAAAGGTGATATCTGATAAACTTTGACCTTCATTACTGATATGCTGTTTTCTTTTCTGCGAGCGTGGGATTTTTTTAATGTATTTCCTTTATCCCTTAGATATTACACCAGAACCAAAGGACAGTCTGCCGTGGGTTCACTTACGGACACTTGGAGATTTTGGCGGAAAAATTGCTAACTCGGGAACGAGAAAAGCTAGAAAGCCGAAAATTTAGGGGAATGTTTCCTAATTAAGTGCTACCCATTCTCAGATGACCTGTCGTTTCCATTTAGTATCGCTATCTGCTGCTGTTTGCACAAATTTATGTTCGTTTTCTATGTTTAGTTTCTTCCAGTTTATAGTATTTGTCAAAATTGGTTAAATTATTACTCTGGCATCCAGTGTGAGATCCGTTATTATAAGATGCGGGCACACATTAAGCGCAGATATCCCAAATTTTCATTTTGCATATCTTCAAAGTTGCAAAAAATTAACTGAAACAGCTTTTTTTGTGTTTTTTGATCGATTTAATGTTGTACATTATTTTTTTTTTCTATTTTGCTAATTTTCTGTTTTTTTTAATCGAAGTTTTCGCTAATTTTTCTAGTTTTTATCAAAGTTATGCGTTTTTTTCAGAAATGAAAAGCAAATTTTGCTGGAAACATCTGATTTGCACAACAATTTGGTAATGCTGGCGGCTGGAATTGTGCTGCGGACTCCGGGAGCACAGAAAACGTGTACGATGGGTGAAAAGTTGCAGCAGCAAAATCTTGCGCTGGATGTCATCGAATGGCTTATTGATAATTGGGTTTACACCTCGGCCCAGTAAGTTTTAGTATCGCGAAACAAGGATTTACTGTTGATTCTCATCTGTTTTTCTATTCGAGCCCATTTTCCTCGTTACACTTCCGCCGGCCAAATGACATCTCGAGGCATGTAAGCCGACAGCTGGGCGCAAGGCCCCTAAAACTATAGATATGCGGCTCAGGTTAGGTATTTTTCACTTAACGATTGTATGCTAGTGCTAAATATGTGAAACAGCTATCAGTGCGTACTTTGGTTCTTTAGTTTTGCATCTGATGGCTTTTCCAGTTGCTTTGACCAGTGCCTTGTATTGCCTGGTTGTCAGCTTGCTGGTCATTCTAGTGTCCACTTTTCCCTTAAAATGGAGCTGCTGATAGTTTTTGCCAGTAGATGGTTGCTGTTGGCACTTGCTATCACTCGGGCTACCTCTGAATGCCCCTGCCTCTCAGAGGAAATGAATGTTGGAATAAGAATTTTGAAATTTTGTAAATATTGTTGTACAATTATGATTATGTTATGGGTTTGCTTTTCAAAACAGAAATGGCAAATAATGATTTTTTTTTTTCAGTAAAAATCTGCTGAATTTGGCGGAAATGATTATTGAGAACGTGGATGCGATA